TTAACGCTATCGAGCGTATTACGGAGTTTAAAATGTAAGATTTTAAGCATTAAAAAACAGTTTTAAAATCAGTTAAATTGTAAATTAATTCAGTAGAAAGGTGTAATTAAATAAGTTAAAGAGTTCACCGTTTAACCTTGAACGGTTCAAGGTGACATGGTTGCACCGTCGAACAATCAATCAAATTAAGTTAAAATTTTTTTTTAAAAAAATACGCATTTTTTCTTTTCGCTCTTCTCGAGTCTTAAAAGGTGTCGATTTATACAGAACAATATTGATAAAATTTCATAACTAAAGTAGCATTTTATTATTGATTTTTTTTTAAATAAAAGTACACTAATACAACAAATTAATACAACACAATACATACGTTATATTACGTGATGTGTTGTGTTATATGTTATATTCCATTACGTGTTGTATTACTTGTTATAATATACACTGTATTATTGTTGTTGTGTTGTGTTATACGTTATATTCCATTATTTTTCCATTACAGTTGCTTTGTATATCTATTCTTTATGATGCGTAACACAGAACAGTATTGTTGAAAGTATAAGCAGTATCATCTATTGTTACGTTCTTTGTATTATTTGCTGAAACTATTATTATTCAGATTACATTGTTTCAACGGTGTAAATTAAGGAATTACAGTTTAGTAGAAGGCTAGAAGGTAAGAAGAAACTCCTTTTATTGAGAGTATTGTTACTGTATGAAGTTTTTTTTTTTAATCAAATAGGAATCCGTAATATTAAATTAATTATTAATTTAAGCAACCGTACAGGAAATTATAGAAGTAAAAGAAAAAAAAAAGTACTTCCTCTATGTTTAAATAACCTTTACCACACTTGTCAGTATCAATAAACAAGTAAATAAAACTTAATTTCTCTTTCACGTGGCATTAAATTATCCATTAATTGTTATTACAAAGCAGCAGCAGTAACGTAGAAAATTACGTTTCTAGCAGATCGATTCGTTTAATTCCCAGTGTTATTTACTACAATAAAGTAACAAAAAAAAAAATTTTATCCCGAAGCGAAAATAACAATTAAAGTTTAAAACTTTTATTATAATTTTTAATTAATACGTGTGTGTAGTTATTCAATCAGTTAAATTGCCCGCATTATCTCATCCAGGATTAATTCTTTAACTATAAAGACTACAACAGATCTTTTGTTGCTATTGTCTAGTCTTTGCTATAAATCCAAACCAATAGGGAGACATTGTGAACAGGAAATAATACAATTTCGTGAAACCTTAATAAATAACAGAAGAAATTACTAAATCTCTGATATTGTGTCATTGTGGTTGGTGGTCGACGTTACAACACTGAAGATCTTTGTTAATTATATCGTTTTTTTTTTGTGTGTGGAAATCTTTGTATTCCCTAGAGGACACACAGACACAGTGTGGATCGTTTCTTTAAGATCCCTAGAGATGGAAGCGCTTGCCAGATAAAACACATAAAGACTTTTATCTGAGAATTAGTGGAATGATTATAGCGTTGTTGTATGATGTTGTACAAGTTTTGATGGAGGAAATCTTTCTAATTTAACTTTGTAACGATTTGTAAAAGTTTTTTACATATACTTCTGTGTTATTAAGCCAATGTTATAATTATAATCAACACTGTACAGTATATTTATGTTGTACAATGTAGTATACATCATATACATTCATATTATTATGAATTATACCTGTATTACATTATATATTTGTATACTTACATTGTGAATATGTTCTAATTTATATTATTATATACTAATTTATGTCTTCAATATATATTGTTGTATACACATGTAGTACAGCATGTATCCTCGTAAATGCACTATAAATAGTAAAATATACTAGTAACTATCTCAAACTACAAGTCGACCCCCCTATAACACTGTTTTCCGTTTTATATGAATTCCATGTTGTACGAGTCACTTATATTTTACAAATACGTGAACCGTTCACAGCCCGGCACACGTATTTGTAAAATCTAAGTGACTCGTACAACATGGAATTCATATAAAACGAAATTACCAACAGTGTTATAGGGGGGGGTCGACTGTGTTTTACAGTACTATTTGCTTACTTTTGTATGAATAACGTACACTATGACATCAACTTGACGTCATTCTTACAGTTTGTTTACGAGAAAGTGTGATTATAACGTCAATTTGACGTTATATAATGTTTTCCTCTTTATTTGGAGACGAAAAGAGGCCCAAAAATATATTTAAACAGAATAGATTATAGAATTTAAATGTCACAAATCATTATTTTCAACATTAAAATTTAATTGATTTATTGTAATTCATCCAATTTACTCGTATTTAATTTGATATAATCGATTGATACTTAATTTATATAATAACATTTTAATCCAGTGATACATTAAATCTTCTAATTACGGAATGATTATTTTTAATTGTAATTAATTAAAAATATAAATTAATATTAACGTATTACGTATGGATCGTGTATATACTGTACAGTACTCATATTGTTTCGCTGTTTATGCTGGGGGTGAGCGAGCTTTCTGCTTAAATTCTATGCACTTGTATGCTTAATAATATGAGAATTTAAATTTAATTAATTTATTTTTAGTGTTTTTAACATAATTATACATAAATATAAGCAAATAAACGTTAAAAAGCACGTGTTTACGTTGTGAAATCTTGCTTTTTTATACTCGATTTAACGCTATCGAGCGTATTACGGAGTTTAAAATGTAAGATTTTAAGCATTAAAAAACAGTTTTAAAATCAGTTAAATTGTAAATTAATTCAGTAGAAAGGTGTAATTAAATAAGTTAAAGAGTTCACCGTTTAACCTTGAACGGTTCAAGGTGACATGGTTGCACCGTCGAACAATCAATCAAATTAAGTTAAAATTTTTTTTTAAAAAAATACGCATTAAAATTTAATTAAAACTTTTTCATAATTTACTAAAAGAATGTCTAAACTATCAGAAAATTCAACAAAATTTAATTTTTATACAGAACACCATTAAACAACAAACATTAAACGGTTAATGCTATATAAAATAAGGCTTATATACTTTACATGTTCGTAAAGGTATGCATGTATAACACAATATTTTATGCCAGTAAAGGCACTTTAAATGGAAGAAATTCTTCTTTTCGCTAACACACAGGCAAAAGACAAAAAAAAAAAAAAAAATTCGTCGATAACCGCGTATAATGAGCACAAAGGAGCCTACGTGTAAAAACACACACACAAACGAAAGGGGGTTGGAAAGTAGTATTATTTTAGCTTATAAGACCGTAAAATATGTTCAATCGATTAGATTTTTCAACATTTAATCCTGAGTTCAATAAACTTTAATCCTATTCTTTACTAACACCCTCCTTCGATACTGAAGCTTAAGAAGGATTTAAAACACCTCAAGGCGAATGGAGGTACTGTAAATCCTTCCCAATCATCAGAGATGATTGGAAACAAAGTGTCAAAGATGTAGATAAAATAAGCATTAAAAATAGTTTAAATATATTCAATTTTTGATAGGATTTTTTTTCTTCTTTGTAGTTTGAAAAATTGTTTAAAGTTTGATGAGACTTTTATTTATTGTTTTTTTCTTCTAAAATAAAAGAAAAATGAAAGAAAACAAATCTACAGATGCGACTTGGCTTCTAGTAAATAGCATCTGTGACTGATTTAAAATCAGCTGCATCGATTTTACTGCTTCAATGCTTTTGTATACAAAAATGTTCCTCCACTTCAACTTAGTGAGAGAGCATTTGTATGTATTTTTTATTCCTTTTTTTTAAGACTAACAAAGACAATTTTTTTTTCTTTTGAACTACCTACCAATAACACGAATAGAATGCGCTTCACACAGCAGCTTTTCTGTGACTGCAGCTGAAGAAAATGTAAAAAACAATACATCATCCAAAAGAAAACACACTGTTTTTACGGTTTGTTACTTTGATGAAACGTACTATACAGTTTACCATTCTGCATGAAAAAATTATCTTTGAAGTCAGTTGTTGCGTTAACAATTTCAGAAACTTTTGTTGTAGGGATTAAATTCTTATAATTTTTTTTAAAAAATAAAGAATTTCCTGTACTTATTGCATCGATTCTTTGATACATGAATGGCTTGCATCCCTACATCAACAATTATATAAGATATTCACCGTTGCACCACGTACAGAACCAAACGAAATCCTCGTCAAAATGGTTTACAAACTCAATAATTTTTTTTTAAAAATGGAGAATTTTCTATACTTATCTTATCGATTCTTTAATAAATGAGTAGTTTTTACCCATAAATCTTTCCTTTATCAACAGTTGTATAAGATATGGTCACGTACAGAACCATCAAAAGACCCTCCTCAACATGGCTTATTAACTACAACAAACTCAAAAACGAAATTAAATCCTAAAAGATCATAATCAAAATTTGGAGGATGTACACGATGGAGTGTTAAAGACATTACGTTATAGAGTAAAGAACACCTCTGCACACTCCGCTCATCAATTTAATATATCGGGTGTTAGAGGTAAATCATTTAATTTTTGTCACTTTGATCATCAAAATTTTCGATTTCGTGGGTTAAAAATTGAAGAAACTTTTCTACTTAAGACCTCCATTAAATTTCGTTGATGGTTCAATCTAAAATATTGATAAAATTGAAGATTGCAATGGATGATGATTCAACACGACATTCGATTTTTCATTTATTGAAGATGAGCTGAAAAAAAATATCGAATAAAATGCTAAGAAATTTGTAAACTATTTTTAAATACACTTCAAGTGATAAAATAATTTTTTTTCGTTGATTGGATGGATCAATTTATTATATCTGAATGCCCTAAATCATCTTTCAATTGTACTGTACAACAATTGATACGTGGCACCCAGCGAGAACTAATTGAAAATTCGAAAAAAAAAATGTAAATTTTTATACATATTTCTATTAAAATAACCTGTAAAACATCTAAATTTAATAATATATATTAAATATAATTTTAATTTTTTCTAATTTTCTTCGAACAAAATAGGGAATTTTAATTTCGTCCTGTGTAAAGATACATAAATTATTACGTAAAAATCAAGTAAAATTAATTAAAATCGTAGAAAATTGTCTTTTTTTTTCGTTTTACACCTGATATTTTCTAGTCTTTTCGAGTTTTGTACCATTTTTTGAATTATTTTTTAATGATAACGAAGCCAAATTGAATTAAACTTAAAGCTGAAATTTGAAAACTATCCTGCATAACATCCTTTATATACAGACACACATATATATATACATATTTATTAAAATTTGCGATACAGTTCTGGTAGATCCTAAATGGTTCACAACCTTAAAATGTATCATTTAAGTTGACTCATAAATGGACAAAATTAAGTCTTCTTAAACGAAACCCTCTTCTCTACACTTCCCGTGCCCATGGATCCTTTGAGAAATGCTTCTATAGCTCCTCCTAGTAGCATAGCATCGACAAAGTTACCATCGTCCCATTGCACCTTTGAATCTACCTCCTCTTTAATTTTCTCTTGATCTTCATCGTCATTATTATTATCATTATCAACATCATCATCATCATCATTAATGACATTTGGTTCGGCATCTTCCCTAGAACTAACTTCAGGACTTTCTGTCAATTTTGTGGTTTCTTTGACATCTTTATCCTCCTCGCTCAAAAGAGGTGATGAGCGACCAAAATGATGAGATGATTCTGCAAATCCTGGATCAAGTGATGCTGATCTGGTGTATCTTAGAGGCATCCTCTTCATGTTTGGCGAATCTGGAGCCTGAGAGACGTTGGCTATAAGTGATAAAATGTCGTCTTTTTTACAAACAATTCCCTTTTCCTTCTTCACTCCTTCTATATTCAAATCAGAAAATTTAGCTTCAGCAATTAGGCTTTCATCTTCGCGAGTTGACTTCTTCTTGAGGGATCCTAATCTAGTTTTTATTGGCTTAGAGTCGTTTTGGCTCCTAACTTCAAAGTCTTCACCACTAGAAGTAAGTTTCTTAAGCCCACGAAGTAGCTCGCCACTGGTCATTGTCTTACTGAAGAACTTCGATGTTTTCCAACTGGCGTGTTTGGAGGGCCTGTTCGGATTGTTTTTCGTAGGTGATTTACCAAGTAGGGATGTCTTAACAGTGGGTCCATCTGAACCCTCCTGAAGGGATGCTTTAGCAATCCTTGGGCTCCTAGTTTTGGCAATGTGATCCTCGAAGTCTTCGTCATCTTCTGCAACCACTGACATCAACCTCCTGGGACTTATTTCACGTTTGCTGGTTGTCATTACTAGACAAACGTGTTTAAGATTAATGATTTTGCACTCCACAGTTTCACACTACGTAGCTACAATCTTATCTAAATTTTGATACATCTCCGGAAAAATACCAATGTTTGTAATTCATCATCCAAACAGCGGTGGATCTTCAGGAAAATACCTAAAAATTATAAGAAAAAAAGAAAATCGATAAATATATTTTCTAAATAAATCTGTTTTATGAGTCATACTTCATATAGATATGTATTTTTCAAATTTATTATCCTGTTATTCCTGCTTTTATTCTTCTCGAAACACGTGTTTATCACACGAAAAACAAATGCTTACTCGCTTCTATTTGACACTTATTCCAGAATATTTATCGAAAAAACTAAAATTAATGCCTAATAAACATTTTAAACAATAGTTTTTTTTTACATTAAACTATACAGAAGATCCTTGATGCTTAAGTTCATGAAACGAAAGTACCGTGCATGCATAAAAAGCTGTACAAACGAGATAAATTGATATTTCTACATGGTTAATATTAACAATTATGAAAGAATGCCTGGTAGCAAGACAAAAATAGCCCCTCTAAACGAAGCAATTTACAACATATTACATGTAATACTCAGAATTCCTTTATCTTTCTGATGTGTTATTAATAGAATGTGTCTCAGAAATTCTGCTACTAAATTCATGTTTGATTCATTACTACAATTAGAACATGATCTATTGGAAATTAATTTGTTCTGCAACATCCAGGTTATGTTGGACTCGGTCAATTAAGCTCCCCAAGCATAATTTTATTCCATAAAAAAAAAGAGGGATGGTCCAATAGTCAGTTAATTATGTTTTGTCTTGTTTTCTATGTGAAAACTCGTTCAGTATTCCTTATTTGTAGGTTGATAATGCTATTTTAACTGAAAGTTTCAATTAGAAGATGCTGAAAGAGGTTTTTCAATCCTCATCCATTTTAAGAAGAGAAAGATAAGGATGATTAAACTGATAGAAGAAGAGATTTTCTATTCAGTTTTCGAGTGAAAGCTGAGATAAAACATTTTAAAGGAACAAAAATTTAATTTAAAATATATAATCGAGGGCTTCTGCCCCTAAATTCTCCATATCTGGTCTCAGTTTTCATCTATTTAATACCGTTCTTGAGATTAAGGAAGGACAGACAGCGACAGTGGGAATTTATAGGTCCAAATATTTATAGCCCAAATATTTTTTTTAAAGATGAAATTATATTAAAATACATAAATATGTAGCAAATTCAACATCATAAGTTGAATTATTAACAAGTTAAACTCATAACTTGTTTAATTACCTATAATTACAAGTCTTGGAGAACTCACTTCTATATTAAAAAATAGAGCTAATTAAGGTAATTTATTCATATAAAAAATACAATTTACTTGTATTTAATTGCTAAATAATCAATACAAGCATGGGCCATTTCATTATATTCCGAATACAACTCGATACTTACAGTTTATTAAGTAGAGAATCGATCCTTTCTCCAATTTTCAACCCAATCCGGGACTAACTTGTAACTATCGAGTGGAGGAACTAGCTACAGTCTAATTGAATCTATTAGAAAATCCATTCCTTCCTTCCATTCAGAATAGAATCCAATACAACACCTGCAGTCCGACTATCAAGAAATATCTCTTGTACTAGAATGATTCATAAATTACACGTTTTATCACTAGAATTAATGTTTTTGTATTATTTTCTATACTTTAAATCCTTTACAAATGATCCTCTTAAGAGATTCCTGAATGCTGCAACGTGCCTTTATCGTCATCGGTTTTTCATCATCTAATTGTAGATGATACTTTAAAATTAACGTTTACGGGACAATATCGAATGAATTTATGATAAGATAATCTTCAGAATTATCTTATTCATTTAAACTTAGCATCATTAATCTGTGTCTTTGATAAATGAGGTCATATCTGCCATCAAGAGAGCTAGAAACTATTGCTATTCATCACATTACTCTTCTAGAAGTTTATGAACTGTAAATATTTAACTATAACTTAAACTAGGACGTTCTAATGCCGTTAAAAATGTATAAGAACATAATAAGATACGTTTAACATCCGCATCAGATGATGCTGAAGGAAAGATTATTCAGAATTTTTATTAGAAAAAGCAGAAAAATTACCGTCCATCTTAACTTTTAAAATATATTTAATCATGAATAATGCTTCAAGTAATATTTTCAATGTTTAATCCTGCTTAAATACTCCCATTTCCGAGACATTTATGTGCAATGAAACTAAACACCATTATCTAATGCCCGTTGGAAATTGTTGGCGACTCTTAAAATCATCATCAAGTAGACGAAGTTAGATAATTTCTAGATAAGATCAACTCTAGAATTATTTAAGATTAAAGCCATTTTAATACATTTATCCAGCAATCGAAATCCTAGCTGATAAGATAACGCGTTACATCCACTATTAAACATGCTAAAAATGATTACTTCTCACACATTAAGCTGATGTAATCTTCTAATTTAAAAAGGAACCACATTAAATTACGTTTCAACACGGTTAAACCCGTTTAAAACTATAATAAATCGAAATATAATGCTCAAGGATGAGTTCTGTAGCTCCAGAAGATGAAGTAGTATATCTTTTTTCTTCGATATTTCGATATATTTCGAAAATATTTTCGAAGCTCTTTTAGAATTTTTTATCCTTAAGAGATTTTAACTTTATATATATTTTGGCAATTTCAGAGCTTACCTCTCTACGTGACACCTCTGTGGTACTGTACAGTACAGTACATATGCCTGCAACTGACAAGTGATTGATAAAGGAGTAAAAAGGGTAACCATAGCAACAATAGCTTACAAAAATTCTTACTCATAAACTTCACTCTTACTGGAAAACTTCCAAATATTGATGTAACTATAGCAACAAGTCCGTGGAGGGGAGGGAGGGAAGAAAGAGAAATATATCAAGGTTACATTGATAAATAATTCACGGTCAGAAATGGAACTTAAGTGTGTATGCAATAGTTTCAAGCCTGATTATTTATATTAATTGTACAGTAAGTACATGTTTCTTGCTTATATATTACATAAAAACAAATTTATAAAATTTATGAATATCGAATTATTTAAATTATAATTACTTTCACTAAAATTTCTCTCTCTTTTCTAAAGTTTTAACGAGCTTAAAAAATTCCGAAACTCGTAAAAATCCTCATAAAAAAATGTAGTAAAATCTATCTAAAATTTATTTAATTCTTTCCTTAAAGTTCTTAAAATATAAATAGAAAAATTCATCTTAAATTTTCTTTCAATTATTAATAAATTATTTATTTATTTCTTTTTAAATTGGTTTAAAATAGAAAAGTACGGTGAGAGGTCAAAAAATTAACCTCCTCTCCCCTAAAAGTTTTACATTTTTGGTCTCAGGTGAACTTGAAACGTCCCGGTAAAATTTTGAGGGGTTGTTTTCTGTATGTACTGTACGGATGTTAGTGTGTGTGTGGGGGGGGGTTCACTCACTTTAAAGCTTAATAACTCCTGTGTCTTTTGTCGAATGTTTCTGAAATTTTGCGGGGTGGTTTGTGTATTAAGAAGAAATGTTTGTAGTAATTTACAGAAAAATGGAACCTTTTGTTCGTGAGATATGGCCCACACCTCAATATCTCCCGAAACAATCTGAACACTTATAAAAGTAATGAAAGCAATTATTAGGGATGAAAACAAAGAATGCAGGAAAAGTCCAGCAACAACACTGACAGCTTTTTTTTATTTTTTAAATGCAATTTAAAAATATTCGATTTCATTTTTAAAAGTACATTTTTAAAGATTTGTGAATTTTTTTAAAATAAAATTGCATTTTATGTTTATTTTTATTGTCTTTTCATAAAAATTGAATTTTTTACAATAAAATATATTTCATTTTTCTAAAAAATTAAATTGAATTTTTGTGTTTTTAAAAAATTTATAATCAATTTCAAGAAATTGAAACAATTTATGAATGAAAACTTTTATGAAATCGATCAAAGAATTAAAATTAAACGTAATTGAAAAATTTCTATTTCATTTATAAAAATACAATTTGCATTTTTTGAAATAGAAAATGTAAAATGTAAATTGTAATTTTATTAAAATGGAATTGAACGATTAACTTAGTTGAAGTTTCTCTTATTAAAAAAATACATTTTCATAGAAATAATTAATAATTTACTTAAAATAATTTAAATGCAAAACAAGGAAAATTTAAGATTTGTAAAAACAAAACAATTAACTAATTAATAATAAATAACAATTGTTAAATCGATATATAAATTATATTTTTTAATAATTTATTACTTCAGATAAGAATCGTATATTAAATAATTTATTATATATTTGAATATTAAATAATGAACGTTTCAGATTATTTAAAACATATCCTTCTATATGTTAAGATATGGCTTTATAAAAGATAAAATTATTTAAAATATCGAATTAAATTTCAAATAATTTAAATATTAAAAAAAATCCTATAATGTAGTTTTTAATAATTAATTTTTAAAAAAATCCAGCAACGAGTTGCATAACTTTCNCTATAAATATAACACGTTAACGCAATGCTTCTAATGTATTTTAATACATTTAATGGGGGTATACTTTCATGTTATCAGCACGTACTGAAGCACTTCACCATCTGTTACGAAATTTTATTTAAAAAACTTTTTATATTATTAATTATTATAAAATGGCTAAAAACTTAACTTTGAAGGTAGAGTTATAAGTTTTATAGAGTTGTAAATGCTAATAACAAGTAAAATCTTCATTAAGTTCGACTCCTCTATCTCCCCACCTCGTAGACCTTTAACCACTAAAATTTGACAGCATCAACACCCCTAATACACAAAACTCCCTACTAAATTTCGAAAATTTTCGACAGAAAACATAGGAGTTATTAAGCTTCAAATTTGGTGAACTAAATCGTGCCCCAAACACTAATATCCTCCATACGTAAAGAAAAAAAACCCCAATTTTTTTGCATTTTTCGACGTTTCAAGGTGCCCCGAATCCAAAAATATATAAAGATCTTTTAGAAGATCATTTTTTTGACCGATCGCCATACTTTCCCTCAGTTATATAAAACAGCCGGAGGAGTAAAAATTACAATAAAAATACTTAATAAAATATTTTTAAAAAAA